TTTGAGGAAGTGGGACAGTGAATGGGTAACTAAAACAAAAAAAAATAAAAAGAGAGGGTTGGTTGGTGGCTGAAATCTAGAAACGTGACTTCGTGTGAAGGTTTGCCGACTAGCTTCCAATGCGGAGAAGGGTGTGGGTCAATTAAATAACTAAATATAGAGCGCCACCTGCTTTCCCCTATAGTACACGAAATCAACTGAATTAACGAAAACAGGAAACTTCTACGGACCTATAGCAGCACAACCTGAAATATAAACGTAAACAAGAAGGGAGGACAAAAGTGAAACGCTTTGCTACAATCAAGTACGGGTTTTTAATTAGAACCAGAACAGAACAGGTTTGACTCCAGAGCAGGTTCGGAATGGGTTTTCCGACCGCCACTGAAAATTATTCACATTGGAACCAAAACAAGAAAAGAAATCGTCTCGGAGTACCTAACCATATGTTCTTAAAATAGTATTTACAATAATTATTAATTACACTCAACTTGAGTCCCTAAATAAGGAAATAAAGAGTATTGTATAACAATTAACAGCAATAATACCTGAAATATAAATTAATAAATAAGCTTACTAAATGCAGTACCTTCGTAAATGGCCATTTAACCCCAGTGTACAAATATTTCCTGTATTCAGTGCAGCATGTATTCATGGGATAGTTATTAGAGAAATATAAATCAATAATTTAAGTTGAAGTAACAATACATAGCCTGAGGGGCAAATTTAATATTATGGAATAATATAGATGGTATAGGGGTTGGTAAGGTTTGATATTAAGACAATACAACACACTTATCAAACCTGAGTAGTCCCTAATCTCTTGGGGGAACCTGACGGATGGGATTAATATCTTCCAGTGTTTCCGATGGCCTGGGACTGGATCAGGTCCGCAACAAGAAGCGACTGGCCCTGGGCACTGAAGTTCAGTAACTAGGAGTCACTAAAGCTTCCAATGGTCCAGAGGAGGCTGAAGATAGGAGGTACGACTTGAAATATATAAGCCTTACTTATAACTCTTTACTGGAAGTTAGGGACTAAAGCGTTACGACTAAAATGTGACGTCTAAAAGGTGGTGATTAAAGGTGATGATAAAGCGTAACGTCTAAAGGCCTGAAACAAATGGACATTATGCGACTGGGCGTGGAGCCACAGGTAGGTATGTCCAATATTCGGAATTTAACCATATAATTAACAGAAAATTATGCTTTTACATAGGCAATAGAGAAACACAGAGAAAACGAATAAGAAAACAACTTACCAAAATACTTTGGCCTTTAGGAACAAACAATTGATCACGTTGCTCTTTTGCGGCTCACAAAGAAATTTGCACAAGGCGCTTTGGTGCTAGAATAACGGATTAGCCACTTTAGATTTATGAGAGAATCTTGGCAACTCAGAAATCGGAAAAATGTGCCTGAGGAGTTTTCCCGAGCACTTAATCATGGAAAGTCCTCGACCTGAATGACCTCTGCTTGTCCCTGCAATGTCCTTTAAAAAGGCTGTGTCAAAACTCCAAGGTGAAGGGTTCTGGGGATTTTGATGGTAGTTGGGGCATGGGACTTATTCAAATTAAGTTAGTACCGGTCATTGACCCTATTTGGAGCGCTGTCAATCTAGTCAATCTGATCGGATCAGATAGTCAGCTGTTCTAATGTAAATATTGTGATTTTGTTTATTAATAAATTAATTGTCTATTTATTTTAACCCTACTAGCAGGAAATCAATTCCATTAATAAACCTCTAACCTAATGATTCTGGGAAGAATGAAAAGTTTGATGAAAAGTGTGGCCACAACTATTGGATAGAAAACAGTGGCTTGAGGAAGGTATGCTATTCAGAGAGGCGAATAAGCTTATTTCCTTTTATTTTGGCCCAGGAAAAATCATCCCGTAACACACAGCCCTGCCTTTCTGCACGATCCTTAGCGCCCTTTCTTCCCCAGACACACGGGTTTTTGTCTACCCCCAAACCATTTTTGCACCTGGTGATAGGGGTAGGTCCTCCAAGAATGTTATTTTGCAGCTTTTGTAGTGGGAGGAGGCGGGCAAGGTTGACTTTGGCCATTGCTGCCGATGTTACAAATTCTGAATATCGCAGGAAGTTCAGCGTTCCCTCATTTCCTCCATATAAGTTCATCAAGATCCTCTCGCCAGCATTTCCTAGTTGATCCTGGTTAGGGTTTGGATAAAGAAAAATACCTGCGAGGTCTATCCAGTCGTAATTTTTTCTAGGACGTTGCACTACTTCAACTTGCCTTGCCAGAAAAGGGTAGAGGTGGTGTCACATCCACTAATGGCATGCAGGATTAAAACCATCCCTCGTGGAAACTACATTGCTTCACATGTGAAGGAATTTGCTGGATAGTGGGCGCACAATGATTCACCTCTGCCGCTTTTCTGGAAGTACATGTGTGTCTGTCTGTCCAGGGCCCGTATTCTCGTCACCGGGGAACAGCGTTCTCTCAAGAAAACGATTGTTCTGTCTTAGCCACCCATATTGGTATTTCCCCAATACTGACAAAGACAGCAATCTTTCCCTTAAGAGAACGCTTTTCCTCGGTTACGAGAATACGGGCCCAGAGCTCAAGCCGTTTAGGAGGACCAATAGGTCCTTATCTTCCCCAAAAATGTCACTACAAGAAAAAGAAGCAGAGCGCTGCAAATGTTCGGCTGATTTAGTGCTCCTCAAAGCCGCATCTTGTGGGTATCTATCAAAAACCACAGCTACGTTTTTACCAAAGTGGTTGATAACATAGCTTGCATAAGGCTGGCATATCTTGCCACAATGTCTCTAACTGAATCATTTCGATGCCAGATCACCTTGTGCAGCATGTAACCACCACTGTGAATGCTTTGTATCCTCGCCAGCACGACGAACAACCACGTATTTGCGCACCACAGAAGTAGCATAGCGTTTTCAGGGTTGCAAACTTGGGTATAAACTACTCTCAGGGATCCTAACAACATATAAAAAAATCGTAGATACATGCGCGTTTGTGATGTTTACCATTTTTTGTGTTGATATTGACTGGCCTACATTATGAAATACTGGGATGCTTATATTTTCTGCAAATCTGCTTTTAAACTTATTCCAGCTAGTGAGTATATTCCTGGTGTTCTCTTTACGTATAATTGTTCTGATAGTAAGTTGAGCATTGCAACATTTTGATGATTCCTGGATAAGAATGTTCCAGAGCAAATCTTACCCTCGATCTTGATGTCTAGCTTTCAAAATGCACTCGGCATTCCAGATCCTCGGATTCTACATCGTCACAAAGAAAAAACGTGGCAGAGAAATATGTTCCCGGCTTAAAAGAGCTGAACTAATTCAGCTTAAATTAATTTTAGATTTTTTTGTAAATGGCAACATTTTAGTGGTTCGCCGCAGTTTGCATAGGTGGCAGCTTCCTCCCTGGGTTTGGTACAGGTAGAGGTGTGATAGTCGCCGGCGCATTTGACACTTGGATTGAGAGTGTCCGTAAAGCTGGCAACTGTGGTACTACGTGGATCACTCTTGTGTCCGTTGCGTTTCGACCCTCACTCTTATGTGGTTGGTATATAGGTACTGTGTGACATAGAAATTGAAACACCCAGTAAATATGAATATATTTTAATAATATTTCGGGAAGTAGTTAGGATAAATATGAATAACAATCGATGAAACTTTCAAACAAATTTATTGAAAGTAATTCTTGATTATTCAATAGTCAGTTGCGCCTTCACGTAAGTTTTGACATTCTGTGACATGCTGCGAATCAGATGATCGATACATGCCTGTGGTAGGTTCTCCCAGGCTAATCTTATCTCATGACGTAGACATTGTACATCCAGTAGAACATTGGCAACTGCCTCGCTCTTCTACCTTTCACATCCCAGACATCTTCAATAGGCGATTTTAGTTTGGTGACCTTGCGGGCCATGGAAGAAGGATTACATTAGCTGGTTGGAGGAAGTTTTTAGTAACTGCAGCGGTATGTGGTCCCGAATTGTCTTGTTCAGAAATTGTATCTTGCAGTTGTTGAAGGTAGGGCAACGTGACAGGTTGTAACACGTTATTAATATAGGAATGAGCGTTCATGTTTCTATCCAAAAAAAAAAAAACGAAAGGTGACTTGCTCCTAACTGCTATGGCACCCCAAGCCTTAACGTCCCTAGTTAGCGCAGTCTCACTCTCCATGCAAAATTGAAGTTATTGCCTTTCTCCACGTCTGCGACGGACTTTTTTACGTTGCCCTACCTTCAGTAACTGCAATATCCAGTTTTTCAACAAGACAATATATCGCTGCAGTTACTAGCAACTTCCTCCAATAAGCTAATGTAACCCTTCTTACATGGCCCGCAAGGTCACCAAACTTATTGCCTATTTACCATGTCTGGGATATGATAGGTAGAAGGTAGGCTAAGGCGATTGCCACATCTTCTACTAAATCTACAACGTCTACGTCATGAGATAAGATTAGACTGGGAGAACTTACAACAGGCAGATATCGATCTAAGTCGGTCGTCCAGTCTTCCAGTGGACCACGGATGACTACCCTTAGCTTCTTTTCCTGTAGGAGAGAGAAGGGGTGGAATGGTTCTCTGTTCTACTCGAGGAAGGCCTGCATTAGTCTGTAGTCCTCGATACACTTTGAAAACTATTCACTTGGGAAACTAGCAGAGTGTTTGGTAACTAAAAAACGGGTAACGATTTCTTTCAGCAACTGTCTTGAAAAGGACTGTTGCTTCAACAATAGCAAGCACTCGAATGTAATTCCAGATAAAATCGCTCTTTTGAAGCCACGACAGATCAAAGTACGGTAATACAGCAGAAAGAAAGAAACATAAAGTGAACAAACAAATTGGCGGGTGACAAATGTACTTAACCTATAAAACGCAAGACCCAGAAAACACGTGTTCCAATTTTCGGGGGGCAGTTTTGGGTCTTCTATCTGGAAAGCGTGCGCGTCGCTTTGAATGTTCGCTGAAAAGTTTTCATTCAGTTCGCAAAACGACGGGCGTCGAGACGCGCGTCATAACCACCGCACCGCAAGTAATAACGGAAAAGTTCGGGAAAAACTGCGACTGGTTGGCGACGAACGAATAATTTTTGGGGACAAGGTAAGAATTCACATCGGTGATCAATAAAACTAAATAAAAATTATTTCAATAAAAACGGTTACTCCTACATTATTTCTAAGCTGTTTAAATTTATTTCAAATAAAACTTGCAAAAAAAACTACAGTAATTGAAGGCAATCTCATTGGGCCTCTGGTCCCTACTTTAAATTTAATATTTAAAACGATTTTGAAGAGTCGACAGTCGAAGCCAGTGGGAAATAAATTACGTTTTAGCGCGGTTTTGAAACGATTTGCCAGCTCCTGTAATGCCATAATTTCCTCCCTATTAATTTAATTTAATCAACTAGGCGGATTAATCGAAATAATTGCACTTGAACCAATCAAAAGGGCTCCAAATTAATTGAAACCAAGTTTCAAACCCAATGAAAAATAAATTGATTGTATTTTTTTTTAATGAACCAAAAGGCAATAATTATTAGTATTCAGCTGGCATGCAATCGCATTTTTTAACCCTGCAGCCAATAAATTATTCGCATTGCAATAGCGAGCCATAATCCATTTTCAACTGGAAATAAAAGACTGCAAATTGAGCTTTTAATTGAATTTCAAATGACCTACAAAAGAATATTCTAATTTATTGCTTTTCAGGATTAATTAGTAAGAAATTCCATTACGAAATTTGCTGCACCATTACCCTAAAACTTACATAATGGACTTGTCCAAATATGTCGAGAACACTCATTGTTTGAGTCACCTTCTAACCACCTCAATAACAGCCGCTTATTGTTTATTGATGTTAACTATCAGCAAAAACAATATTTGATTGATGGTTTAGGGTATAGTCTCATAAGGAAAGTTACCTTAATTATAAGTTTCCTAAATATTGCGGCATATTTTTTGCAACATTCTTAGTTATGATACACATTTTTTTATTTAACGTTACAATTTTGTTTTTTGCCTTTTTATGGTTGGAAATTAGAGTCTAAATTATTAATTGTAATTTAAAAAATGATAAATTTATTATTTGCTTCTATACGTCAACTGTATTGAAACCAGAAAAACTGTTGAGGATCATTGAAACAAGACGGTTGAAGTTTGTTGGAGCTCTATAGATCTTCTTCAAATATGAGGAGCAGAGCTTTCGCCTGTGAAATACACAAAATTTATGAGCAAATCCGAATGTAAAACAAATTCTACATTCTCTGAATCTTTGAATCAAATTTTTAGACAATATTTCATATGCAATCTTAACTTACTCTACTTGTTTAAAAAGCATTTAATATTTCTTTTTGTCATAATTCCTGGCGATACTTCACGGTTCTTAGAGAAAAGGAGAGTTTTATTGTGATCAAGAGCCAGAAATAGTCGGAGTTCTGATTTCCGGCTTTTGAGTGGCTGGACAGCTTTACTAGAGGCAATCATGAACCTCTAGTAGTCAAACTTTTGATCACTTGACTTGAACCAAGAGTAGATTTTGAATATTTTTGGTTTTTGATTTGAAAGAGAATATTTCTAGATGTAATAAAGACCTGGTAAAAGTCTGAATTTTTGATTATTCCTGCCTCTTGGCTGGCTGGACAATTTTCCTAAAGGTGATCAAGATCCTGTAATTGTCCAACTTTTGATCATTACCGGCTCTCGGATTGTGTGTCTTAAACCATTAGTCGATTATACTTCAAATTTTGATTATATCTGGCTCTTAATTTACTAGAGAATAATAATTATTCTAGATTCAATCAAGACCTGGTAAGAAAGTCCACATTTTGAATAATATCGGTCTCCTGATTGACTGTAGGAAATTTTTTCAACGAATTAAGACCCAATGATATTTCAAATAATGATCATTACCGGCTCTTGATTTGCTTTTTTTGTTGAGATTTTGTGTCCTAATGATCATTCGAGATCCCCCGAACTCCATACACTAGATTATTCCAAGATTTGGAGCCAGATTCTATGGAAAAAGGCATTCAGAAAATGTTGTTCCCACCCATAACCCGCGAATTTCCTTAACGCGATTTTTCCTCGGAACCTATAAGTCCAAATGAGCTAAAATTTTTGAGAGATTGTAGTCCGCCACTGGGATAAGAATCGCTGAAAATTTCAGCTTTCTATCTCTAATAGAAAAAAAGTTATGACCTTTAAATTTTTCCAAAATCTAAATCATAAAGCAGCTTCACTTCTCATTAAAACGATGAAATTTCAAATTTTTTTTTGTTGAGATTTTGTGCCCTAATGGTCTATTGGGATCCCTCAAACTCCATACACTAAATTATTCTGAGATTTGAAGCCACATTCTATGAAAAAAGGCACACAGAAATATTGAAAAATTGATAAATCACCCCAAATTGCTTAACACGATTTTATTTCTGAAACTATAAGTCCCAATGCGATGAAGTTTTCAGGGATTGTTATCCTCTACTGGGATAAGAATCGCTGAAAATTTCAGCTTTCTATTTTTAATAGAAAAAAAGTTATGACTTCTCAAATTTTTCCAAAATCTAAATCATAAGGTAGCTAGCTATCTTCTTACTAAAACGATGAAATTTCAAAATTTGTTTTGTTGAGACTTTGTGTCCTAATGGTCCTTTGGGATTTCCCCAACTCCATACACTAGAATATTCCAAGATTTGGAGCCGGATTCTATGGAAAAAGGCACTCAGAAAATTTGAAAAATTGATAAATCACCCCAAATTGCTTAACACGATTTTATTTCTGAAACTATAAGTCCCAATGCGATGAAGTTTTTAGGGATTGTTATCCTCTACTGAGATAAGAATCGCTGAAAATTTCAGCATTCTATCTTTAATAGAAAAAAAAATTCTGACCTTTCAAAGTTTTCCAAAATCTAAATCATAAGGTAACTTACTACTAAAATGATGAAATTTTAATGACTCTTGATTTGATAGACTATTTTTAGTTGCCATCAAGACCTGGTACAAAGGTCCAAATTTTGAATATAACTGGTCTCCTGGTTCCTGATCGCCTATATACAAAAATTTCAATAAACTAGGGGCCTGTGATACTTCGTTCAAATGAAAAAATTTCCAGGCTCTTGATTCGTTGACTAGGTAATTTTCATAGGGGTAATCAAGAGCCGGTAAGAGTCCGAATGTTTTATTATTCCTGGCTTTTGACTGGCGAAACAGTCCTAAAGACAAACAAGAGATGTTTGCCTGATTGCCTATACAAAAATTTGTCAACATACGAGCTGATGATTGTTCAAATAATATTTTTTTCTGGCTCTTGATTCGTTGAATAATTTCTATAAAGGTGATCAAGGACCGGTAATAGTCTGAATTTTTCGATTATTCCTGGCTGAACAGTTCTAAAGGCCTGTGATAGTCCAACTTTTGATTATTATCAGCTCTTGATTGCTTGACTTGATGAGAAGTGAACCAAGAGCCGATTATAGTTCAAATTTTGATTATTTCTGACTCTTGATTTGATAGAGAATAGAGAATATTTCTAAATACAACCAAGACCTGGTATGAAGGTCTAAATTTACTTACGAAAAAATAAAGCAAATCTACATCTCTGTTTTCGTTTCTACTTCCTATTCACGACAATAAATAAAGCGGAATTTGAGAAAACTCTCTCCCTCTGAATTTTATTTATTAGTTTTCCGCCATTTCTACCCTTCTTTTTGTACAGCCGATCAAATTTGATACAAGCTATTGAGCCCGGATATTTCTTTGGCATTTACAAGAAAAAATATATAAATTTTTTAATCCTCCTCCGGAAGTGGATCGTTTCCTTTCCTCAGAAAAGATAATAAATTAATTTTGTAAGATTATCCAAAACCCATTTGCCAAAAAATTAATAAAAGCCTTTTGTTATTGTTCACTGCCTCAGGGGTTTAAAAAAAAAAAAAAACAAACTCCCATTGTTCGAAGGGATAAAATTTGAATAATTGAACAGAAGCTTTGAAAGCGTTAAATCCCAAAAGGAAATTTTATTGTCTGGTAAAGCAATTAGGAATTAGGCGATGAACATTAAGGTTTTCTTGACCCTCCTTCCTTATGAAGTAAAGATTAAAAACTTTTTATTTTCTTGAGGAACATATTTTTGATTTTATTGTTTTTGTTTGCTACTTGATTTTATTGCAGTTTTCTCCAAAGTTTTGGCTGCAAATTGCTCAAGTTTTCTGTTATTTGTCTGGATTGAGGAAAATTGTGACTATACTATAGTTATTTTAAGGCAATTTAATACAGAAATCAATTCGCTTTGACTTTAATGAGATTAAGCTATACACTGAATTAGAATGACCCACTTTTTATGTACATATTCTGCAAGCAACCATGAAACTACAAATTACGTGAACAAAACGTCTCGCCAAATTACACCATACTTTTGAGAAAAACCGCACGGATGTCTAAAAGTCACTTCTTTCCGGTTATTTACGTTTATCCTACTATTTACAAGACCTAGTTTTTTATAAAATCAATTAATGAAAACATTTTTTGTTATAGATTGCAATGTGCTTTTATACGAGTCAACGAAAGTTCCCGGCATCAAAATGAAACATGTCCCTAGAAAGTACAATTTGGAACTGTTTCTTTTGGTCGATTTTGATTTTGACTCGTTTGAATGTCACGTGGGGATTACCGCCGATAGTAAGAATAGGTAAGTGCATATTATCGATAGAGTCATTACAAATAGAACCAAAAATAAAGTTGTTTAATTTAGTGGAAAACTTTCCGAGCGATAATAAAGTTTGCCGAAAGTAAATCCATTATGACAACAGCAAAAGTTTTGTTTGTTTTTTTATTGGTGTGGACCGAGGAGATAACCCGCCGTTATAGATTTTCGTCAATGCAATTGGATCGAGACTGGGAGTCTGTGGAAAAGAGATGTTAATTGATTTTTGATGAGGAGTTTGTGACAAAATATATTTCCAAAGCATCAAATTTCACGAGATCTATTTGTAAACTCGTTGTTTAATAAGTTGGCTTATAGTTTTGTATACACATTGTCCCAGAGTATGACGTTGATTAATGGATGTTTTTTTTAATCTCATTTGAAAATACATATCTTCCTCAAACAATTTTTATTGAGAAATTTTGTTGACACAGTTAGCTTCAACAACAATACAACAACAACGGCCTAGGACAAACCAGTTCGGGTTAGTTTAGCTTGGTTTTGCCTATTTTCTTGTTGTTGTTGTTGTTTTTGTTGTTGTTGTTGTTGTTGTTGTTGTTGTTGTTGTTGTTGTTGTTGTTGTTGTTGTTGTTGTTGTTGTTGTTGTTGTTGTTGGTATTGTTGTTGTTGTTGTTGTTGTTGTTTTTGTTGTTGTTGTTGTTGTTGTTGTTGTTGTTGTTGTTGTTGTTGTTGTTGTTGTTGTTGTTGTTGTTGTTGTTGTTGTTGTTGTTGTTGTTGTTGTTGTTGTTGTTGTTGTTGTTGTTGTTGTTGTTGTTGTTGTTGTTGTTGTTGTTGTTGTTGTTGTTGTTGTTGTTGTTGTTGTTGTTGTTGTTGTTGTTGTTGTTGTTGTTGTTGTTGTTGTTGTTGTTGTTGTTGTTGTTGTTGTTGTTGTTGTTGTTGTTGTTGTTGTTGTTGTTGTTGTTGTTGTTGTTGTTGTTGTTGTTGTTGTTGTTGTTGTTGTTGTTGTTGTTGTTGTTGTTGTTGTTGTTGTTGTTGTTGTTGTTGTTGTTGTTGTTGTTGTTGTTGTTGTTGTTGTTGTTGTTGTTGTTGTTGTTGTTGTTGTTGTTGTTGTTGTTGTTGTTGTTGTTGTTTTTTCGTTCAGTAAATCTTGTTTTTAAAAACTATTTATTTTATTAAAAACTAAGAAGTTACAACAAAAAATACTAGATTCTAAATTGCTACGGTGGAAGCCGAGAGCAAAAGAATCTTTGATTCTAAATTGCTACAGTCTAATGCTACAATACAAATGAATAAACTGAGAAGCTCTGCGCACCGTATTTATAATAAAATATCGCTGACGGTGCAACTGAGTAGGCGAAACCTTAATATGACGGTACTTTTCCAGGCTTATTATCCCTTAGTCAGCAGTTTTATAATATGTGGGCTTTTACAGTGAAGAACGCTTATATTTAACATTAAAAAGGAGGATTATGTATATAATAATAACATAGGGATTTTTAATATAACTCCTCCCTCCTTAAGTGGTCGCAAATTGGGATTGACTAACAATGTTGGGCAATTCAATCTGCACCTCAGTTTTAGTTTTACTACATTTTTCTTTAAAATATAAAATAAGAATAATTGTTATAAAAATAAAACTTAATGCTATGATTATAATATAGGTTGAAATAGTATTAGTTTCAAAATTTAACTCTTTTAATGGGTCAGTTTTTAATTTGTTTGCTCTTTATTCGTTGAATGAAGAGCTTCATGGTTGACTGCTTTTAGTCTAACAGTTGTGGAATTCTCTAGAAGTTCAGGAATGTCGATGATGAGTGGTTCTAGTTCTGGGTTGAAGTTCTCATGCGTGTCTTCCAAAAATGTTCGATTGTTAATTGTTATTGAACATTTACAATTGGAAATTACGTTTGGACTGGAAATGATTTGCATGTATTTCTTCTGGTCACATTGCAGCATTGCTGTTACATATCGTTTTGGAATAACCAATACTTGATTATTGGGTATTTCTTCAACTGTCGATTCTTCATATTGAATTTTCGTGAATGGGCATAATTGTTGATCACTAGATACAATGTCGTGAACACAGAGCTCATCTTGTTCCAATAGTGCTGTTTTCGCAATAGTATTTGAAATTTAGTAAACTGGACTGCGACTGGAAAATCGCGCAAACAAATAGAAATAGAAATGAAAATGATACCATAGGGTTGTCGAAACACACAATAGATATTTCCACTCACCTGGGTTTTCTAATGAGCTGTGTCTATATACGGGGATCCCCTGGAAAAGGGTTGTCCACAACCACCAACGTATCAGCATCGACTTAAGGCACTCAAGGTCCCTTTTTTTTTAACGGCACAAGACATAGACTTTTCGAGCTTAAAACACGGAACCGGAAAAAATTGCAACGTGCATATGAAGCACCATTTATCCTAGTGTGTAGTGTAAGTCCAAATCTTCAACGGCTGTCTCGGTCGGCGCAGGGTCGTAGAAAATACACTCCTGTGTGTTTTACGCGAAATTGACATTTAAGTAATTCTTTAATAAGAATTAGAAGAAACCAAATTTATAAATAATGTTGCCTTAACAAGTGCCATTTTGCACAAATAAATGTCTTCAATATTTGGACATTTTTATAAAGCTTTTTAATACGTGTCTGTGGTAAGTAAAAGGTAAGGATACTTAACACTAATTGTATAATTTTGGATGGGTATAGGAGATAATTTATAAAATATAAAAGGTTTAGGATTAATTGGTGTGGATATAGTAAAAATAATTAATTCCTTTTGAATTATTACATGAGAGGACATTGATCCAAGAATCCAAGATTCAAGAATGATCCAAGATGGCGGAGAGTGATTGTCAACAAGTTTTGTCGTCCGGAAATATCGACAAGATTTTGTGTAGTTGTTGTAAACGTGAAGTGAAAACTGAGCTTAAATGTGAGAAATGCCCTAGGCAATTCCATCCCTCGTGTTTGGTACGTGTAAAGGGCGCAAAAACCATTGGAATAGGTACTGTTTTGTATCCAAATTGCGCGCCAAAAGGGTCAGATGAGAGTGTTGGAGATGTGAATCATGTTAATGATATCCTGAATAAATTGGTATTGACCTTAATGGAGAACAATGAGCTATTGCACGCAAAATTGGTTGAGATCGAGAGAAAAAATGAGGAATTGGGTAGAAAAATTGAAATTTTGAAAAAAAGCGAGGTAAACAATAACAACTCATCCTGCTTTCCTCGCACATCTCTTTATTCACCGCTTGACAGACAACAGCAAAAGGCCCGGTCCCCACTGAAAAGAAGAACATCTGTCTCTAACCTCAAATCAAAACAAAAACACAGAGGAAAGGTAAACAAATAAGAAAGTGTTTTCAGCTTTTTCGTCTTCAGATTCCAATAAAGCTGAACCTTACCCGGTAATTACCTACAGTCAAGCTGCAGAGGCATTTAATGATGCTTTCGTTCAAATAATTCTTCCACCAATTATTAGACAAAACCAAGCAAAACAAAATAAAAATAGCTGTGCTTCTTCTGATGTTATTGGTAACGGGACAACTGCTTCTAATGTTCTCCCAGAGTGTCTTTTTCAAAATGTACCTGAAAAAAGTGGTTGTTTCTGGGTAGAGTTAGTGAGAATGCTACACTTGAGATAATATCTGATTACATCAAACATAAGGCTTATATTATAGAAGCAGGTGCTCTGGTTATGCATGAACTACCATCCAAGGCCAGATCAAAGTCATTTAAAGTTGGCGTAACTGAAACTTACTATGACAGCCTTATAAATAATAGTTTGTGGCCAGAGAATGTGATTGCTAGACCATTCACATTTAGAAAAAGACATCATAATCCAAATGCACCTACTCAAAATGGAAATTTTCAAATATCCCCCAGTTATCATCAGGGGCTCTGAAATTTTATTATCAGAATGTCAGAGAAGTGAGAACAAAAATTAAAAATTTGATGTGCAAAGTACTTGTGGAGGACTTCGATGTTATTTTGCTAACAGAGACTTTTCTGGATTGTGCCATTTTAACGAGTGAACTCGGCCTGGATGTGAGATGTGATAGATCGGCAATGACTAGCACATGCAAGACGCAGGGTGGAGTCTTGGTTGCTGTCAAAAATTCCCTATCTTCTAGAGCTTTAATATCCCTTATTGTAAGTGTTGAGCATTTATTTATTTCGGTCACAGTAGACTTACAAAAAATCCTAGTGGGTATTGCTTACATACCAGGTTTATCTACTTATAACACTTATGATGACTTGTTTTTCTCTTATACCCTTAATTGACAACAATACCTTCAGTGACATCTTTATTTGGGGAGATTTCAATCTTCCCAATATAAAATGGGAAAAAACGGCTGCTGAGTCAGTACCCACTGGACCCCTATAAAGAGAAGTGACAGCGGCTGACTGTGTTGCCTATTTGGGGCTATTCCAATCAATTGATGTGTCTAATATTTATGGAAATTTTCTTGACCTACTGTTTTGCAAGCAACCAGATATCAAGGTTGTGTGATAATCGGCTTCTAAAACCACATCCAGAATGTGCCTTGTTACGATAAATTTATCATTTACGTAACATGTTGCATCTCTTCTTATTTTCATTATAAAGGTGAATCTTTTCCATTTCAGAATCAGCCAAATAATCTAAAATATCCACAAAGTTCAAAATAATACAAATACTGCCATGTATCCATCATCTGCGTAAAATGCAAATATCTTTTATTCATTTACCAGTACTGCCATCTAGTACCTGATGGATTTATTTTTCAAAATATGATTTTAATTATTTCGCATTTGACAGTCATTTGTATTTTCATTGAAAGTAATTATATTTATCTCACTTTTAGCAAATGGATATATTTCTGTCTTTCTCTAACTTCTGATTCTGAAATATTCATTTTTTGGCTCAATGACCTAATTAATTAAAAGTTTTTTATTTTTGACATAACCACAGAATCGTTTTCCTGTGGGCTTTGGTTTCTAAAACGATCTCTTTCCTAAACAGAAGTCTGGCA